CTGCTCGTCAGGAGCTCACTCCTCCGGCTACTTTTCCCATATAAAATGTTTTGGATCAGTTTATAAAACATAATGGATATTTTCAGATGATGATTTATTTTTAGTATTGCCTGAGTGGATTATTTTTGCTTTCACTAGTTTTCCTAAAGGTACCTGCCTTGAATTAACTATGCCACAAACTTTCTAAAATATGAGTTCAATTTTTCTAGCCAGAATGTGGCCACTTTTATCTATGCACCCCTTATGTGTCGAAAATACGTAGCTATATATAGTGAGTCTTGTGCTGCTCCTGAAAGGTGTGCTTTGTCCCTTTTACTGTTTATGTCCCAGCAGCACTGCTGAATTACTTAAATTGAGAAGTAGTGAAGGGCAAGAAAGAGGGAGAGAAAGGGAGAATGGGAGATGAAAGAAGGCCCAAGACGTTAATGAGCAATGTGTTAATTGCCTTTGATTTCCATCATTAAAGGCACATAGAAGAGCAAGTTAAAAGGCCAGACTGGGTCCTTTTTGGACCATCTTGAAACCATCAGAGGGTACAGGAAAGTATCAGTAGCTACTGAAAAAATTATCAAACCCACTATACATGCCAGGATCAAGGGACTTAGCCAACGTGCAGAAGGAATATTTGCAGCGTGCTTAGCGGGAACTATTCAGTGTTACAGTTTGTTCTTCACTTCCATTAAGAAAAGATTCCTACCTGCAAGTGAAGAAAAATCAGTGGGAAAGCATTATCTACCATGAGATATTACTTCCTTACTGCACATTTTGATTCCTTGTAAAGCATGGAGTCTGCTACCGCCTGGTTTGGGCACTGGAGAAATGAGTATATTGGACTGTGGTCATTTTCTCGTGCACAAATCTCAAGTGTAAACATAGAACATATTTACAGTTACTGCATGCAATCCTATTTCCAGGACAGATTCTGTCTACTTATTAGCTGATACGATACCCAAGGAGAGAATTAAGCCCATTTTTTGCATACAAAGATTAAGCTAGTTTGTACAATGACCTCTTTGCAGATAGGCTGTGAAAAGACATCCTTCCTAGCATAATTTTTTCTCTTTCTTTTTTGGGGTCTGTAATATTTTTGCATAACATGGACTCAAAAGCAACTTAAAACAAGTTGGAAAGGTAACAGAAAGAAAGAAGTCATACATAGGTTTTTTCTTCCAGTCTCACTGACTTGCACAAATAGTGAGTTTCGCTGTACATCGGGACGTTGTATTCCTGCTCATTGGTACTGTGATCAAGGAATAGACTGTGCTGATGGCTCTGATGAACCTGCCTCTTGTGGTAAGTTTACACTCAGAAGATACAACATGATGGGTTATGGGAAATTGGTAGTTTGTCTTGTAGGCAGCAGCTTGAATCCAGACTAGGTGGAAAATAAGTGTCATCTGAGGTTTATTCTGACTCTAAGTAGTCTGAGTCACTGAGTAATTCAAGTCTTAAATACTTAAAGCCACAACTGATTGCTTTTAATGTGATTACTCTTAATGTATAGCCTCCTGTCTCTTTATAAGTGATGGTGGTGAATCAAGTGATGAAAAGTAGCAAGTATTTTGATATTGTTCTGAATGTAAAAGCAGATGTCATGCTGTACAGGAAGTGTGCATGCAATATTGCATTGGGGGGAAAAAGGAATGTGGGATGCAGAGGAACATTGTTGACACAGTATGAGGTAGAGTATCATAGTATTACAATAAGCAAATCCTGTATGTACAATAGAAACTGATGGTAATAAGCAGTGGAGGGGGGAAGAAGGTGAAAAGAAGTAGCATAATCTCCAGCGAGGAAGAGGAGGGGCTAACTGAAGTCACTGAGAATTGATATTACAACATAGTCATTATTCTCACTGTAAAAGTTGGCATAACACAAGGCAGAACAGATTCTTCTATGATTTAAGCAGGGCTGATAACTCACTTCACACATTGCTGGAGTTGCACTGTTAGCTTAAGAAAATGTCTTGCAGCTTATACCTTAACTGTCTTACACTTAAGCTTCTATTCTACATTTCACTAACATAAGATTCTCCCTAAAATACCCTCCTCGGTAGATTTTCATGGCAGTGCAGGTTAGTTTAACAAGCAGAGTGATTGTGTTCATTTTTAAGTGCCCCAAGTGCGGACTTGTTCAAGCGACCAGTTCAGATGTGATGATGGCAGATGTATCCCAGCAACATGGATCTGTGATGGTGATAATGACTGTGGGGATATGAGTGATGAGGATCAAAGACATAATTGTGGTAGGTGTTTAACGCAAATAGATACTGCACTTTCTTTGTTTGTCTTACAGGCATTTTTTAGAAAACAACCAACCAACCCACAAACTCCCACCCTCTGCCAATTTTTCTATCCATAAAGGTGCACATTAAGTACGAGGTACACTCTTCTTGTATCTTCATTTTCATTATATTGAATTAAAATTGAATAGTTTACTGGTTAAAAAAAAAAAAAAATTCTAATTTTTGCTATTACTATTTGAATTGTTGAGTTCAAATGGAGATATAATTAACCTGGATTGTTTGTATGATCTGGGCAGCAATGGCAGCTTCAGTGGACATACTCCCTGATCGTCACGCACTACATCTTGTGCATATTAATAACCACATAGTTTTGGCATAATTTCTTTAAAAATTAGTGAGCAAAATAAGCGTGGCTGTTTAGAGGGTGAGCAAAGGGAATAAGGTTCACCAAGTCTGGTCCTGCTCCTTGATTCTTTTAACAGCAGCTGGATACACTTGCAGTCCTTGCCCTTTTTAACTGCAATGGTGCTCCCTCTGTTTGCTCCCTGGAGCACAGAATACCTTGAAGAAAGCAGGGGATAAAGACCCTAGGCCTAATACCTGTTCAGCTCCCAGAAAATCTGGCCAGACGCGTGAAAAGCTTATACTGAGAATCCAACAAGATCCAGAGTTCTGCACATGCCAGCATTGCCTAAGGAATCCTAAAGTGCTTTGGCTCCCAGTCAGCCTCCATGAAGAGCAATGCTCAGTGAAAATTAGTGGCAATGTGTGTGAGTCTTGTATATGAGAGGGTGCAGTGGTGCATGGCTCTGTTGTGGATTACAGGTGGATATCCAGGCTGTGTGTGGCGGAGGATGGTGTTATATACACAGAGTATTACTTGGCGTGCCAGTGAACATGCTTTTCTTTCAGCAAACCGCAACTGCACAGCAGCAGAGTTCACATGCATCAACAACCGACCCCCACTCAGGAGGTGCATTCCTCGGGCATGGATCTGTGATGGTGATGCTGACTGCAGTGATGCATTTGATGAACACCAGAACTGCACACGAAGACCTTGCACAGAGAATGAGTTTACTTGTAGTAATGGCTTGTGCATCCGAAACACATACAGGTTTGTAACTACCTGAGCTGCTGCAGAAATTCTCAAAATTTGCTTAAAGTGAAAGAGCTAATTCAACCTTTTTTTGACACTATTTAGTTGTTAAGTAGATCTGCATATTGTAATGAAACTATTTATCTGCTCTGCATTCATGCATTAGTTTTAACTTGAAAATGCTCTGGAATTCTCTATGTTAATATCCCCAGTGCTCACCATTAGCATTTAATCCTTTTTGTGCCTAGTAACCTCTCCTGGGGTGATTCTTTTCAGTTTGTAATGCATATGGGGAATACAAGCAGGACTCACAGGATCAGACTCTATATAATATGACCCTGACTTCTGAAAGTCTCTTCCATTGGAGCCAATAATATCTGACCTTCTTTGGAAATCAGGAGAGTGTATCTATCCATCTGCCCTAGAGATAGCGATTGCCTTCTTATATTTGAAAAAAGTGTTCATTCCTCAGATGTGACAGGCGGAATGACTGTGGTGACAGCAGTGATGAGAGGGGATGCATCTATGAACCATGTCAACAGCACCAGTTTACTTGTCAGAATGGACGCTGCATTTCCAAGGCCTACATCTGTGATGGGGATAATGACTGTGGTGATGAATCTGATGAGCTGGAACAACTCTGTAGTACACCAGAAGCAACCTGCTCTCCACATCATTTTAAATGTGACAATGGAAACTGCATTGAAATGGTTAAAGTGTGCAATCGGTTGGATGATTGCTTAGATAATAGTGATGAAAAAGGATGTGGTATGTGTAGATTTATTTGTACTGTCTTATTTAATTTAAAATGCTTAGGCAGCTTTAAAGAAAAATGAACTCTTAAGACAATTGCTTAATTACAATCATATCTATTCCGTGGTTGTCTCTCAGAAGGATTATAAGAAACATATATATCTAATTTTTTGTTTTAATTAAATCATACTCATTATATACTGTTTTAACAAAACGTGAAAATTAGCTAATTATATAAACTAAATATAGTTTATACATTGTTATGTATTGCCCTTACATTTCCAAAATAGACCATTCGTAAGTGCATATTTTGCACTCAGTGTGTTTGGTGACAAACGTCAAAGGTGCTAGAATAATTTTATATTAGATTAGATTCTTTGTCTTGCTCCTTTATTACAGCAGCCCATATTCATATTCAGTGTTTTCAGGGGTAGCAGGGAGAGACAGTCAGAGAGAGTACATTGGAAAGTGACTGCACTATTTTCTCTGCTAGCCAGTTCCCTGAATAGAACTCCTTTCCTTCCGCAGGTATAAATGAATGCAGTGACCCTTCAATCAGTGGATGTGATCATGACTGTACAGACACACAGACAAGCTTCTACTGTTCTTGTCATCCTGGATACAAACTTATGTCTGATAAACAGACTTGTGATGATATTGATGAGTGCAATGAAACTCCTTCAGTATGTAGCCAGATTTGTGAGAACACAGCTGGCTCCTACATCTGTAAGTGTGCCCCAGGCTATATCCGGGAGCCTGACGGAAAAAGTTGCCGGCAAAATAGTAATATCTCCCCATACCTTATTTTTAGCAACCGTTACTATCTGAGAAATCTCACAGCAGATGGCCAGTCTTACTCTCTCATTTTGCAAGGACTGAGAAATGTGGTGGCACTGGACTTTGACAGGGTGGAAAAGAGGTTGTACTGGATTGATGTGGGGAGGAAGGTCATTGAACGAATGTTCCTAAATGGAACAAATAAGGAGGCAGTGATAAGTGATGATGTGCCCAACGGGGAAGGTATCGCTGTTGACTGGGTTGGCAGGTAAGAAAATACGTTTTCTGTCTTTCTGGGCTACTAAGGAAATGATGTGTGAAGGAGTTTACCTTAGGGTTCTTCTCCCACTTCATATGAAATTCCCGATGAATGCTGAAATAGTTTTGGATTGTGGATGCAGTCTTATACAATTGCTTTGGAATTGTTTATCAGGATCTCATATATTACATAACACTTAAATTGCTCGCATATCTAGTATACTGAAGTTATATCAGAGTTGGTCTCTCATCAATAATAAAGTGCGTATGACCCTTGGGAAACACTTCTTAGGAAACCATTAATGAACAGACTAGGCAAGCAGGCAGGTGGGATGTTACATGTGGCTATGGAGTAGGGATTCTGAGCTTAGGCTCTTTATTCCTTTGCTAGCAGTTGTTGGAGTTGGGATGCAGGCTTCACTTTATGTTGAATATGTAGCAATATGTTACAACAGGTAACTAGATTCCAATGAAGTAAGTAATAACAAACATTAATGAAATTTAGCTCCTGTACCAATGCGAAGAGCATGTTTCTTTTGCTCTTGAAAAATACATCTTTGATGCTCAAACAACATGATGATCCACATAATTTGCTGTAAGGAGGGCAGTATAAGGGTGAGGTAATTGGAAAGCACTTTGCCTTATGGTCATTTTTTAATTGTCTGCTGTGTGTCAAAAAGTAGTCTGATTTAATCCCACAGAAACTCTGTCGTTGTGTGGTGCCCTCTCTGACAGTGTTCTTGGCTGTGTTTCATCAGGTTTTGCTTTCCGACTGCAGTACTATCAGTATGAAAAGTTTAAATGTCATGGATCAGGCTCTGCCAAATAATAAGAATGGTTCAAAAAGTCACATTTGGAACTTGTATGAGAGTTTATATGAATATGTCAACATAATAGTTTTTATTTTTAAACCACTTTGTCTCTAAGCCTAATGATAATTAATGTTGCCAGCAGTCCTAAATGCTTTATGATTCATGGAGAGGTGAGGAAGGAAAAGCCTAATTTTAGCCGAAGTGGTCCTACTGCTCCATTACTAATACAGTTGCTGAATTATTTCAGCTACCATTAGTGATGTCTTCAGTCAGTTTTTGTTCAGGTGTTTCAGAAAGGCTGAAGGACGATACAATGGTAGATGAGGTTTTCTGCTCACTTTCAGTACAGGGAGAGGACTGGAGGATGCCATGAGGTGCAGGTTGGGGAAGACTACCTTCTCCTCCTCCCTGGTGAGAATGGTACTGCTCGGGGTGGTGTAGACAGAGACTGTATCTGTCAGGCTATTTCTGGAATATCCTTGTGGACGTTGGAGCTGACCAGATGTGCAGACAATTTCAAAGTAGCCTGCTGTAATTCTAATTAAGTTAAATGCTTTGTTTTGTTGCAGGCTTTTTTAAAATCATTGCTTCAGCTTACATGATTTCTTTGATTACAGCTGTGTGTAATTCCTAGGCAAAGTAATAGAAGTGTTAGAAAATTCTAGGTGAAATTTAAATTAGGCCATCAAACTGCTTAGGAATTTTCAAAGGAGAACCTGGCAACTGTTATACCTGTTTGATGAGAGCAGAGGTGGCAGCATGGAACAGATGGTGAATTTCTCTAATACTTTACAGCCCTGGTCACAATCCATTGCACTGCATGTCTGTTCTCCTCCTCCTCTTCGCTGGCCATTGCTGGTAGGAGAGGAAGGGAAGAGAAGGGGGGTTTAGGAATTTAAAGGCAAATGGCATATTATTACTCAACTGGGCAACTGCAAGTTTGAATTTGGCACCAATGACTGTGGATGCAGGAACAGCAGGAGTGAAAGGGGCAGTCTGGAGCATGGTGTAGAAGAGATGTCAGTACAGTATGTGTATTCTTCCTTTGCAGTGGATATATTGCTTCTAGGAGAAAAAAGAACTGTGAAATTTAAGATGCTGTGAAGCAAAATAAACCAAAAAAAGTAAATAAGAGTAAATAAATTAACTCTAAAACATTTCAGAAAATTGTACTGGGTGGATGCCTACAAAGATTGTCTCTATGTCTCTGAACTTGATGGAAGATTCCGGAAAAAACTGGTGGATCAGTGTGTGGATGCCAACAACACTTTCTGCTTTCAGTACCCCAGAGCAATTGTTGTTCATCCAAAATATGGGTATGAAATTTCAAGAGTGCTTTTCCTTTCTTTTGCAAATAGTCTTGCACTGTCTCTGAAAATCTGAAATAAATTTTGGCTGCCTGCACTTAGATTTGCGTGGCATTAGATCTTAGTTGCAGCTTAGGAAAAATAGTAGCATGCCTTTCGCAGGTATATATGCAGGGCCGTCAGATATCATTGAAAGTGGAATTTGGTTCCATGTGGACAAGGAAGTTTTGATTGCAAGGCTAAAAAGGTTGATAGAAGTGTGTGTGGTTTGATAGACAGTGGAGCTGTCTTTAAAGACAGTTGCATTCTTTAAAGAATTCTGCTGTAGCAGTTAAAGGAACAAATATATTAACCTTTTTCTTATCTTCCTCTATCTCTGCTTTAGTTCTGTTGCAGGAAATACTATATTTGAGGTGTGGCTTCTAATATTTACTTCAGCATATTTTACTACAATCTTAACTATAAGTATTTATTTGAACAGACAGATTTACTGGACAGACTGGGCAGATCGAGCCTATATTGGACGAGCAGGCATGGATGGCAAGGAGAAGACGGTGATTATCTCTACAAAGTTAGAGTGGCCCAATGGACTCACCATAGATTACACCAATGACAAGCTCTACTGGGCAGATGCCCATCTAAATTACATTGAGTACGTACGCAGAAAAGAATAAAACAACTGAATAATTGCTCATGTCAGATTGCAGTGATAGCATTTATAGATGCTGTAAGCATCGTACGTATTTCTACCCACTGACTCTATAGGAAACCAGAGTCAGAAGGTCTGGAGTAGTAGGCGATATGAATCACTAGATGACACAGTAGCCTAGTTCCTATATTTGCATCCTAGGTCCCACTGGAAGTGGTCCAAAAATTACAGTGAAAAGATTCACAGTCTGTACTTGAATATGGAACTTCTCTAGGTGTACAACCTGAACCAAAGCAAAACTGAGTATAAAATCACTATTTTTTCCGATTCTCTTGTTTCTGCCTATAGATGAAAGTTGACCTGTAACTAAACTAGTTATGTGCTAATAAAATAGTGTACAAATCATTAGAAGATGTCTGAACATTTTTCCATAGGTACGACGTGGGATTTCCTGTTAGCATATGAGGTTTTTTTGTTAATCAAGAAAAATCTATTAATTGCTTCTAGTGTTAGAAAATTTCCACTTAAATATCAGTAAAAATTAATAACTAGCATTCTGGTTCGTGTCAAGGCATTGAAATACTTTAAAAACAATCCTTTGTATTTATATTAGTATTTATATTTGTATTCATATTTACATGTACATTTAGATTTATATTTACTTCTGTTCTTCTAAACATTCGTTCTTCTGGCAGCCTTTTCTATGCTGAAGTCTTAGAAATGTCTTTTTTTAAATGTATGTTAATTATATGTATGTTTCTCTGTCTCTCTTTTTCTCTCTTGTATTTTGTAATTTCCCCCTATAGCAAGGTGATAGTAAAAATATAACATCTTATTAAAGATATCTCATCAGAGGAGGCTCTAAATCAGAAGGACATATAAAATTTAGGAATACAGGAGGCCTATTATTGTCTTAAGTGTTCCATTATTAGCAGTCTGAATGATCCAGGCAAGCTAGTCTCCTGTGAGACAAAAATAACTTGCTGTAAGCCAGCAAATGTGCAAAATTTTATTGGACTAGCTGATATGCTTCTGTGGGAAGCCTTTACATTTCAGTTGAATTTCCGTTTATTTGCCTAAAATAACCTGTTTTACTTTCCTGCATATCTTAAAATGAATTCACTGAGGACAGTGCTCTATCACTGGGGACTAAAGAAGCTGCAATTCCACATTGCATGATACTGTTCACCAATAATGAAGTACCATAACCATACATAATAAAGATGTGAAGATGTCTTAGCATTTATCTGAATGTTTTGCACATATTTTTCTTTGCGTAGATACTCTGATCTGGATGGACATCATCGTCACACAGTATATGATGGGACTTTACCTCATCCGTTTGCAATAACAATTTTTGAGGACACGATATATTGGACTGACTGGAACACAAGAACAGTTGAAAAGGGAAATAAATATGACGGATCAGACAGGACTGTTCTTGTGAACACCACACACAGGCCATTTGACATCCATATTTACCATCCATACAGACAGCCATTTGGTGAGAAAACGGAATTAGATTTGCATTTAGAGGGTCAGCTGTTATCCGGAGACTAATTGTAAAGGGTCCTGAATGCACTCAGCTTTTGCCTTTGCTGAGCGGAATAAAATGTGCAGAGTAAATGTAGGCCTCTTCTTTACATTTATAAATTGCCTTTTCTTTCAATAGCAGTGACTGGAAATGCATAATTTTAAATTAGTTTCTAAAACGTCATGGCTTAATAGCATATATTTCGTGTATATGAAATCATACATATTTATCTCACTAAGTGCCTACTTACCTAGGTTTTGTTTTTCGACTTATGAAATTTAGGCTTTCAATACATTATTAGAGGAGTCTGTTGTAGATTGAGACCTTTGTGTCCTGGGATTTGCAAAGTATGGTAATATTTATTCTTCTGTTTTACCAGTTAATAATCCTTGTGGCACCAACAATGGTGGTTGTTCCCATCTTTGTCTAATAAAAGCTGGTGGTCAGGGTTATTCCTGTGAATGTCCTGATAACTTCATGATAGTACAGTTCGGCAATACAGCCCACTGCCTTCCAATGTGCTCTAGCACCCAGTTTCTCTGTGCAGACACTGAGAGGTAAGTCCACTGCTCACCGTCTTTTTTTCAAAATCTTTTTAAGGATATATTTTACAGTTTAGTCTCTTCAAAAGGGTGTGAAATTAGGGATTCCTTCTGCTTTCACTATGAGTTTGTGGTGTGCTTGCAAAGACAAAGCCAGGACCAGACAGGCTTCCATTTTGGAAAAATACTTCTAGACACATTGTTTAAATAGTGGTTTTTTTCATTTTCTTCCTGTTTTATGACATTGCTAATGTAGCAAAGTTTGGGTTTTTAGAAACATGTACCTCCAGAAACCATTTCCAGTTGAATTCACAAACCTGGAACCTTCTTTTATTTTTTTTGTACAACTTTTACAATGTATCTGTTTCTGCCAAATATATGCTGTCTGACAGTGGCCCAGGAAGGCCATTTAGCTGATGTGGGGGCACATTTTCGACCCTTTTTCTGAGACAACAGCAGTGAAGGGAGAGGAATGGTGATATAAGAGCTACTGTGCTGATATTGTATCACCTGGAGCTGTGAGGCAGGTGTGCTTATTGGGTGGCCTTTCGAAGCAGTGTTACAATGACAATCCCTAGTGAAATTCTTGTGCTAAAGTTCAGGTGAATTATTGAAGTGTTACCTCATTAAAAATCCAACTGAAGATTGATTTAAAAAGCATGAGGGATGGTTACCACAAATAAACATAAAAATTAAATCCTTATTAATTTGCTGTGAACTTCCTTCTAGAGGCCCACCAATATCATCTGTTTCTGGTGACAGTATTCTGGCATATTTTGCTAGCATTTGACATATGAAACAGAAGACATGAAATTCAAGATGTCTTGGACATTTCAAGAAATAACACTGAGACAAGACTGTCTTTTGTGCTGTAAAAGGATGGTTGTATATCTGTAGAGGCATATCCTCAACAAAGAAAACACTGTTTTCTCTTTGTAGGTGTATTCCTATCTGGTGGAAATGTGATGGACAGAGGGACTGTCGAGATGGCTCTGATGAGCCCCCTACCTGTCCACACCGATACTGTCCAGTTGGTCAGTTCCAGTGTAATGATGGGAACTGCACAAGTCCACATTTCTTGTGCAATACCCAGCCAGATTGCCATGACAGATCAGATGAAGATCCTGTACTTTGTGGTATGTTACGACTAATAAATTTAAGTGTTTTGCCAGTACAAAACATGTAAACTATATATAAATTTCAAAATCATTATCCCTTTTTTACAGATGAAAAGGTGAGTTAGACAGGTACAGTCTTTTCTAGTCTTGCACCTGCTAGAGCAATTCACCTCAGTGCAAAAGCAGGGTAAAGGAGAGCAAAAACGTGCTATATCAAAACATAAACATTTTCGGTACCTTTGAGACAGATTTGCACTGGTGTAAATTACAATCTGAGGTATAAAATACTAGAAGCAGGACCCACTTTGTTTTGTTCTGAGTAAAGCCATGATGAGTATGAGGAATCTAAGGCTTCCTGATGCCCAGGTCAGTCTACCAGGTATGCTAATTATCCCTGTATTCTAGAGCTTTGCGTGATGGGATAAAATTATTTCACCCTCTGCATTGCACAAAATCCACTGCATGTGGGAAGAGGTTTTTTTGGAGAACTGTTCGTGATGGCAGTATTTTAGAAATATAGCCTAATTATGCTTGTGGAATAATGTTATTTCCTTAAAAACCTGTCTTGTTCCACATACTTATGTCTGATGTAAAAAAGCACATCCTTAGTTCTCTTTTTGTAAATAATGTAGTTCTGGCAGTTGCAAGCTTAATAACATAAAGAGGAGGGTGTGGGGGGGAAAGCAGTGTGGTTGTGTAGTTGATAATTTAATTGCCTTCCATTAGCAAAGTGTTTCTAACAATGACAGAATTAAGTGAAATGTCAATTTTTACCTGAGTTTCAAATAGCTAAGCTCTTAAGTGTGGCACAGGGGAATATTAAATAAGTAGCGATGTGACAGCTGCATAATGTGTCACCAGTTTTAACGTACGGTTAAAGTCAGTTTAGGTCTTTATAATTCCTTCTGCTCATCATCTCATGCATGGACATAGAATCCTTAAGTCTAGAAAATGTATGGAAATCATAATATACTGTTTCCTCATGAACAGTTTGGCAGTATATGTGAAAAAGTAGTAGGATGGTGTCCAGTGAGACATACAAAGTCTGGAAGCAGAGATTAGTGTTGACTCCTATTTTCATAGATCTTCAGAGCTCCCCCAGTTTGCCAGCACTGCTGACATCAGCTTCCAGTGCTTTGCCCTTTGGAAATAGAGGCTGTACATTTATAGGTTGTGGAGCTGTTATTAGCATGGTCTCCTGCGAAATTTTTTGACATGTTCATTCATAGTCAGAGGAACAGGCTCATCAGGCAATGAACATCTAAGTTGGTAGCATCGCCAGAGCCACAATGTCACTTAGCTCCTTTGTGAAGTGACTGGGAGCCCCTGCCTCAATCATGTTTGAACGCTGAGTTTAGTCCCCTCTGCTTTAGGAGAAGATAGTATCATCTGTCTCGCTCCTAGAAAAATGTAGAGCCTTAGTGAGCTTGTCTGAAGATGCCTGTGGGAAATGTGCCATGTGACATTAGAAATCTGTACCTTAACTGGGAAAGTAAATGTGATGTTTTAAATTTTTAGTGGCTTTCTTTTTAACTTTTGACGTAGGGATGATAACTGCTTAATTGACATAACAGCAGCAGACCATTCCTGTAAGTTTCAGTATCCTAACAGCCAATTTGTATTCTTCCAGCTAATCACCAGTGTGAAACTCACCAGTGGCAGTGTGCCAATAAACGATGTATCCCAGAAGCCTGGCAGTGTGATAGAGAGGATGACTGTGGTGACAATTCGGATGAAGATAGTACTTACTGTGCCAGTAGAACCTGTCCTCCAGGCCAATTTAAATGTGACAATGGCCGCTGCATCCCACAGTCCTGGAAGTGTGATGTGGATGATGATTGTGGTGATAACTCTGATGAGCCATTCCACGAATGCAGTAAGCACACAGCTGTAGTAAACTGCCTATATTATAGTGCACCAAAAGCAGAGCAAACTGCATTACTTAATTTTCCTGAGGTTGAAAATTTATTGGAAAGGAATATTTTCAGCAAGCTAATTGCAATCGTGTAGTAAAGAGTGTTAGAAAACATAGAGGCTATGTGATAATTTACTGCTTTCTTATTCTTGAAGGGGAGAAATCTTACTTGTGCTGGCCAAATTATCGGGAACGGGCAGCGTCTCACTCTGACTTGCTTGATGCTAGCAGCATCCTTTGCTTGGCCCCAGCAACATTTTGTAAAAAGGATATATGCTGATCCATTGCTTATGTGGAAGCAGTGAATGCCAGTTCACCAATTTTTACCTTATTCCACTTTGGAGCATGACGTATGTCATACTTTTGACAAAAACAAAGTAAAGTTTCATTTCTTGAAGCTAAAGTTTCTCATGATGATAGGCACGTGATTTGGAAACAAAAGCTTACAAGGAGAACAAACGCAGAGCACAGTCTAGCCTATGTTTAACAGCAGGATTTTGCTAGGTGCTCCAGCATGTCTCTTTGAGTTACTGGTCATCTGGAAGAACTTGTGACCAAGTTTTGCCATCTGAGGACAAGCTGCCTCCTCTGGCTTCCAGATTTGGGGCTTCTATTACCACCGTTACCAGCTCTAAATACTTCAGGGAAAAACACACTGAATGTCATTTGAACCTGTCATGGGTTTGTAGCATATGCAGAATACAAGCAGCATAGATTGGAAAAGATAGTAAAATCAGATACATTTAATGCTTTCTCTTTTACAACACTGAAATTAGCAGATAGCTCTTTTTAGTAGAAATAATTGACTATAAATCTTAACAGATTTTGAAAAGCAGAATAGCAAGGAGGACAGTTTAATGGCTAAGTAACACAGCTAACTTTGACAACTGCCTCTTTCAGTGGGCCCTGCCTATCGGTGTGACAATCACACGCAATTCAGCTGTAGAACCAACTACCGTTGCATACCATTTTGGGCAGTGTGCAATGGGAATGATGACTGCAGAGACAACAGTGATGAACAAGGCTGTGGTATGTTTGGAGAAGAAGGTCATTTCAACATAACTTTGTACCTAAAATATTTCTCCAATTTACAAACACCTTGATTTTCTGAAAGTCTTCAGTAATAATGTACCTGGGCATATTTCCCTGGGCATATTTTGTTTGGTATCAATTAATTACCCTGGTAGTTATTTGTCTTCAGGAAAAATTCTATGTGCAGCAATTCATTGTGTAGCTTACATGTTTATGAGCTCTGAAGACCAGGATTTTATTATTTTGCCCAATATGTCATCAAATGAAACAGGAAATACTTTTACTTGAGCTGAACTATTTTAGACAATTAAAACTGCTAGTGTTTTCTACATTTATTTAACTTACCTCCTGTGCTGGTGAAACCATCAGTATGGGAAGTATGATGATGCTTTCCCAGACCCTCACATTTGTGTTGAAACTTCTCATACACTTATACACAAAGCTTAGAGGACATCAGATCACTATATCAGAACCAGAAAAGACTTGAAAATGTAACACACCATGAGGTCAAGATGCCCTCCTTTGACAGTACTAAGTTTATCTCTTTGTGTTTCCATCTTGGTTCTATATATTATTATTTCAGCTGTTTCTTAATCACTTCCCTATTACTTGGCCCAGTCTGTGGCACGAACATCTGTATCTATTTCCATTATGTTCGGTGCGTTCCATCTTCTCCAAAGTCTATGCTAATGTGTGCTGTTTCGTTGGCAAACTGTGTACACTGCAGAGGAGATGACTTGCAGTCCTTTTGGAGATTTCCGTTGTGACAATCATCGATGTATCCCTCTGCGCTGGAAGTGTGATGGAGATAATGACTGTGGAGATAACTCTGATGAGCACAACTGCAGTGAGTTCTTTTTTGGCTGTCATGATATAGTCCAGCTTTTGATTTAACTATTCTTCTATTTCTTATGAGAAGGGGGCAGACTGCTCTCAACTGCAACCATTCTGTTGTTTTACTCTATAGCTTGTCTTTTCTTTGCTGAAATACCACAGTGATGTCACAAGGAAGCATTTTAAATACATAAAACCACTGATAAATCCAGTCATCACAATAACACAAATTCCTGTTTTCATCTAAGAAGTGACATTTGAATTCTGCCCTGTGTGCAAATGCAGTATTATATAGTTCCTTAGTTTAATGAGAGTGGATCTTTTTTTTCTGATTTGGAATAAAAATTTCTGTATAATTCTGTGATGAAACAAAATCCACAATGAATTTGCTTTTTATTATGTCAATAGGGACATAAAATGTTTAATATAATTAGAGAGTATTGGCGGGAATGCTGTTTTAACATCATTTAGTTTTAAGGATTATCTGCCCATATTACTTTTGTCTGGTTTAATGAGACAGGTGCGGATGTTTAAATCATCTGGAGAATTTTTCATATTTGTACATTCATTTTAAATGAAGGTCCTCGTGAGTGCACAGAAAGTGAATACCGTTGTGACAATTTGCGCTGCATTCCTTCCCGGTGGATCTGCGATCATGATGATGACTGTGAAGACAATTCAGATGAACGTGACTGTGGTGCGTATTGTCTAGATGCTACCTCTGACATGTTCACACTTCTGTTTCTAATGTGATAAATTATTCTGCAAAATTATTTTTTTTATGGGAAGCATCTTTAATGGAGTAATGTTGACCAGATAATTATAGTCATTCCACCAAAAGTAGAGGATACCACAGGTTTAATGGTCTGGGATTTTGCAGTCTTTTTTAGGATGTTGTTCTCAAAAAGTAAACACTTTATCTAGATTTGAACAAGAAGACATTTCAACAGTTACTTCTGAATCTTTTCAGAGCTGAGGACCTGCCACCCAGGTTATTTCCAGTGTGATAGTGGACACTGTGTTGCAGAGCGCTTCAGATGTGATGGAAATGCAGACTGCCTGGATTTCTCTGATGAAGCAACTTGTCGTGAGTTTCAGGCTTTGCAATTGGTGCTCATTGAGCTTACTTCCAGAAATATTTGCACTGTTCTCTCTCTTTAAGTGAGATGACTCCCTAGAGGTACAGAATTCTGCAGCACTCAGTGATGTCAGTAAAAATTCAGGATAAGTATAATATTTTGAATCAGCTTTTTAATATAATAGTGCATTGCCATCTCTTGCACTGATTGTAAACACATTCCCAATGCTAGGAAATTAATGTGTTTACAAGGTCCAGCAGAAGATACATATGTGATCAAGTTAAAATTTTTGACTATCCCACGGACACTGCAAGATTCACTGTTTCAGTTGTACCATATTCTAACAAGGTTCTGTAATGGGATTGGTTTTTATAATGCTCAAAGGTGTGTATAGTTTCCTGAAGTACCAGTGAAGCCGAGGAAGTAAAATACTTTTCTGTTTCTGTCTTCCTTCTGTATATTGATCTACTGTGAAAAAATGTCTGTACACTTAGCTTGTATGGAGCTCCAGCTGTTTACCCAGGAAGTATTGTTCCCAGTAGGAATGAAAATATCACCTCTGTGCTCTATCAACATCTGACTGACATTGGCTTTTTAGGTGATATTGAAATGTTGGCTCTGACTTATATGTTCAAGTGATTTTAGGCTTCAGTACTCAGGAGAATTCCTTTCTCTTCATGTTGGTATCAGGGCAGTTCTGTACATCTTCCCGCATACTTAATTTTAACACCTGTGCTTTAAGTAAGAAGGGGCATCTGCACAGTAGGACCTTTATTTTTCTGATGGTAACCACATCCTGGAATGTATATTGCAACAGTTAATCTTTCAGAACCCGAGTTACACAACATTTGGCTGTTCTTAAAGGGAGGAAAAAGCGTGGAGAAAGCAATGGCAAGAAGCCATTGAAAGGGCAAGGGTATGGTTTATTTATGTAGGTTGGAAGAGTCATATTTTTGGTTTCTCTTTCTTCTAGTTCAGTTTTTTTCACAGCTTTTACAGAATCTGGGTATTTTTTTTACTATACCAACATGAGTCCTTTTGGAATTAAGTATCTTAGGTACTTCAGTCATTCACGTTTGGTGCCAGTGACATTATTTACCTTTATTACTGAACTAGATTTGTCAGTAACAAATTCAAGTAGCATTTGTTAAATGAATGACAGTTTATTTTCAAAAGGTTCTGGGAGTGACTTACGTTGTTTCACTATTCATTCAAACCTGAATTAATTATGTTATAGCTACTAAGAAGTCCTCAGTCCTTGCAGTCTGTTGTTGCTGTAGATCTTTGCAGTGCCTCATATTATACCTCCTACTATGAAGAGAAGGGTATTGAAAAAATAATATAGGGTTGGGCTGAATATTTTTCAGGAAAACCTAAAATTTTCATTGTAAATGAAAATGTCATAATAATTTTCTTTCCTTCAGCAACACGGTATCCTAATGGTACATACTGTCCGCCCATGCTGTTTGAGTGTAAAAACCATGTCTGTATCCAGCCATACTGGAAATGTGATGGTGATAATGACTGTGGAGATGACTCCGATGAAGAACTTCACCTTTGCTGTAAGAGAGAAAAAAATATATTAAGATGAACAATATGCGTAATAAAATCTCTAATTACAATAGAGAGAACAATTAGAAAATAAATTTAAAATATTTTCTTTTCACTGGAGATTCTCACAGACTTAATTTGGGATGAGCGCTGAGAATATTGCTTCATATGCAAGTTCACTTCATCTTCCTACAGTATGTTTCTCACTGCTTTGCAGATGTTTGTATATGTGGTTATAGAAGTAGGGAGAAACATATCAAAGAGATAAGGACACTATTTCACATTTTCAAGTTGGTTATCTAAAACAAAAGCATCGGTTTGCAACTAAAGATTAATTCAGACTGTGTATTCTCAAAGGTGCTGAGCTTTTAAAGCTATCAATATAGTCAGGACATCTTTGTAAATACGGTTGAGGAGTCCTGACTTTAGCTCTAGAAATGAGGTGTTGGAGGTGCTACATAAAATTTTTGTATATGTACTATATAGCCACTTAAATAGCATGTTGGATTTTCAATCAGTTTACTTCATAAACAAATCTAGAAACTTCAGTGTTACATGTAGTCATAGGATATGCCTTTGGCCAAAGATGATGTACTGTCTTCTGACAAAAAATGTGTAATGGCCTAACATACCATCACCAAAATGTGGAGAAAATATTCTTTTGGGTCTGAATGCCTCCACACCTTTTAAAATATAGGAAACATATAAATGTTACCAGATAAAAGTGATTGGTATAATTTGTGACTCAATGGCATAAAGTATCAAAGTGTGACTGACTTGATCTCTGTGGTTTCAGTGGATATTGCTTGTGATTCTCCGTTCCGTTTCCGATGTGAAAACAATCGCTGTGTATATAGTCATGAGCTGTGCAACCAGGAGGATGACTGTGGAGATGGAAGTGATGAGAAAGAGGAACACTGTATGTTTACACAAAATTGAGCAGCAAATTCAGTAATTGTGATGTGCTTAATGTTTAATAATACCAAAGGACTATAGAAATGTCAAAATTAAACATAAATTATGAAAACTAGAGCTCAGTATGAAATAATTTGAACTATGATTATTGGTACTATGTATTTGCAGCTCTCCATACAAGTAGCAAAAAACAGCAAACATTTGTCTGAAAAGTACAGAGCATGATTTTCAAAATCATACTGTATTTTGTTATGAGAAGCAGCTAAATTGTGTCAGCTTATTATGAACTCCACTTAAAATAACGAAAAAGAAAGAGTTTGTCTTTATCATAAAATAAGGATGGGATGGATAACTGGGACTTTTAAAATAGAGAAACGGGTACTTCTGAATTTGTGGCACTGTTATGCACATAGTAAAAGTGTTGATATTTAGGCCCAAATCCTGCAGAAGCTCTGTTAACATTAAATAGGTTTTTGCCCTCAGACATCTTATGTAGTTCTCATTGACTATCTTGATTTTTATATTATCAAGTTTAATCATATTTTTGGTTGCTTAATGATATTATTTGCTGGCTTTATTGTACAATATTCTTAAAGTTAATAGTTTACTAATAATCTCTTGAAGTTTGCAGTAGATGTATGAAGTATATCGCTAAAGGATATTAACAGATTTGCGCTATTAAAAAGGAAGTTCAATCAACTATTAACAAGAAGAATTTTCCTTCTGTCTTTATAAAATGGAGGAGCTTCTTTCAGTTCATGGGAATGTGACTGGAAGTCAGGAGGCCCCGGTTATAGTTTTAGCTTTACTACGGACTTCCAAAGTCACTCTAGCCGTTATTTTACCTGATTGCATCAGCTTCCTCATTAGCAATGTGGAATAGTGCTGTCTGTTGGTACTGCGTAACTGAAACTGTGACAGAGGAGTGTTTCTCTTCTCGACTGTAGGTAGAGAACCAACCCCAAGACCTTGTACGACTGAAGAATTCAAGTGCAGTAACGGAAATTGCATTCCTCTACATTATGTCTGTGACAATTATGATGACTGTGGAGACCATTTTGATGAAATGGGCTGCAGTAAGTAATAATGTCAATAGAATACAAAATTACAATGCTATTGAAATAAAAATTTCTGAAACTGATAACAATACATGTTTCTTCTTGAATAGCATACTAAGAAGCATTGCTTTTTAATTAGCCTGTGCTAGGATATCTTCTGTTTTCCTTCTTTTGGGGAAAACCCTATGAAATTCAGTGCTCTGAACAGTCCTTTTTAGGCTTAGAGTATTTATGCATCACAAAAAAGGGTTTGAGCTTGGTTTTGATCTTGTTTTGAAATGGGTTGCATTATGGAGGCAAGAACATCCAGATATTTCAATCATAATTGCAATAGGCCAACTTATAGAATTATTCATGGGCAGACTCTCAACTCTCTAGCCCTGTTAAAAATAAAAGTATAGAGATGCTTCTATTTTCCTGTTTACAGACATGACTACAGAATTCTGTAAGGACAGCCAGTCCTCAGGCTGAGGGCCCTCTCAGATCCTCTGCACAACTTTTATTAACTATGCATTGTAAATTTACTAGCATCCATTTAGATGCAAAAGCTTTGACTTGAACTTTGAGGCAGGAGAGAGTATTCTCATGGAATCCGGAAAAAAAAAAAATTTCCTAACTTTTTGTATCAATATAGAGACAGCTGCAGAGTGATAATATGAGCATGTACTTGCAATTTCAATTTGTCAGACTTTGATGGCTTCACGTGAAAGTATGCCAAATGATGCACTGGTGATTTACAATCCAGCATGCTTGCAAAATGCAAATAACTCGGAAGCCTATAGTGCAGTCCATTTTGAAGCAGCTGGTTTCTCTGTTTCACATACTATCCCAATGGTCTTTAGGCAATATAACCTAATGCAATGACTCGATGAAAACATGAAAGTATAAAAAAGATATGAAACAGTGCAAAACAGATACCTTCTGGCAGTCAGCGTTCTACTTTTTGGGGATAGATGTGAATGCAGATCAGATGGTAATGTTTGTAGGCTTCCCAACATCAAATATCTGTGTTGTAGAGAAAATAGAGTATTTGTGTGTGTGTGTGTACAATGAATTTATGCTTCTACATGTGTATGAAATTGAGCTGTTTAAACTCAATTTAATCAGCACTGGGATGTGTATGTATAAAGGAGATAATCAGCTTAATGTAATGTCTTTGCCATACATCTGTATCTTTTTCTCATGCTCTGTCAATAAACATATATTATTTACCTTTTCTACTTATATAACAGATTTGAGTTTGAAAGTACTTTCTGTATATGTAAAGTATGTCAGAATCAATAGAATTCTATATGTACTTTGAGAAGAGTATTATTTTTGTTATCTGTTACAGACTATCTATTATTCCTGACTTGCCTTTTCCATTATAGGCACATTTTAAAGGGCAATGCATTCTGTACAATAACCTGTATTGACTTCAGTAGGCTTTAGATTAGGTACCGCGTGAACAAACTCTCATCTTCTCTCTAATTTCCAGATATAAATAATGTTGGGCATGTGTTATGCATGATAGCAGTTGAGAACATTTTTTGTTTAGCTGGTAAGAAAGGAGAGGTAGGTTGGCAAAGGTAGAAGTTAGAGTCAAGTCTCTTAAGTAGTTTCTGCAGTTGCTGCAGATTGGTGGTAACATAGAATGGCCATTTCTCTTAAGAAAGGTGAGCTTGGATGGTTATGGCTCTTATCCTGACCCTGTTCACTTACTTCTAGAGGTTAAACTTCTTAACTGACAGCTGTCTTGACCAGCGTTTACCACCCTCTCTAGTTAGCCTTAGAGAACAGATGTTCACATTAATTGAGTTTCAGTTAGAAAAAAAAAAGGAAATAAAACTACTTGAAAACTATTTTCAATGATAATAATGATCAAAATTATGACAACCCCCATCACTTTTTTTTTTGGTTATCTTTTTTTTTTTTCCCCCCCCAGATCCTGGAACAGAGCGAACTTGTGCAGAAAGTATCTGTGAACATAACTGTACCAACCTGAATGAAGGAGGCTTTATCTGTTCCTGTAGGCCAGGGTACAAGGCCAGTGAAACTAACCGAAACTCCTGTGATGGTATTTTCAGTCTTCTGAATATCTTCTCACTGATAAGCGTTCAGTGACCTGTCACTTCATCATTCTAATGTGACTACCCATTTTTGCATTCTAACAGGATTTTTATACATTTAGCAGATGCTTCCTAAAAAGTTTTCCTGCTTTCATGTAGTAGATGCTTCATAAAAAGTTTTCCTTCTGAATCATGTTTTCTAACATGCAGGCCTCATTCAGCAAAGAACTGGCTCCACAGTTCAGACTTGTTTTAAGCTTTTGGTGGCTGTAGGTAGATGGTTTTGTTTTACTGTATATAGGTTTTGTCATATCTTTGCAATCTGAGGGACAGAAATTTGCTGGCGTTTTTTTCCTTATTGAAAGAAAACTTACTGAAGGTTATACTCTCCTCCTGTTCCGCTCCGGAACAGACCTCCAGTAAAGGTCTATCATGCCATATTTTTGCCCTGGTTATATGCAGATAAAATATGGCGAGGAGTCTACCCAAAGCCATTGTTCATGGTCATGCAATATAGTACCTTCACAGTTACTATTTCAGTATGTTTTGACGAGAACACTTCTGTTTGTTGCTCCCAGCACTTGTGGACAATTTGTGTAGTTTTATTAAACATGATCCA